TATATATATATAATTTAGATGAGAAATTAATTAGTTGGCAACGAATTTCTCAGAATAAATAGTAAATCTAATACTTGAATAAATATATTTTTAAGGTATGATATCTTGATAAAAAAAAAATATATTTTGTAATATTATAATATAAAAAAGTCGGAAAGAATCAGAAAATATTACTATTGACATCTTAATTTATGACTGTTGAAGAATTTTAACCTTGTATGTATTTTGTTGTGGTTGCAGCATCTACATGGGAGATCAGAAATTTGAACACACCTATGGGATCAGATAGACCAAGATGTTTAGTGAATCACACTTTAGAGATACACTCTGCATCCTGGTATCGATGGAAGAACACTCAGCAGTGCACAAAATTTGAGAAGAGCATCCCTTATGCATTGTTGTGCCAAGTGGCAGGTTCATAATTGAACTTTTATTTTCATCTTGCATCTATCTGACCCTAGAATCGTTGACAATTCAAACTTTGAAAAGTATGAGATATAAAGTATTCAGAAATAGAGTAGAAACTCTTGCATAATTTAAAAAAAAAAAAATAATAATAAACATCTTTTCCATTCTATTTATGTGAAACTTCAATTTTTAGTTTTCATTTTTAAAACGTCAATTTTGGACTTTTTCTTTTTAAAATATGTCAAATTTTATCTTTGTTGCAAACTTTATTAATTCAATTTAATGTCCAAACACTAAATACATTATACACATATATTAATTTAAAGATTCAAAAATAGTAATTTTGATTAAACATCATTATTAAATTTGATTAACCAAGTTAGTGATAGAAATAAAATCGGGCATATTTTAAAGAAAGGAGGACCAAAAGTCTCCATTTTAGAAATAGGAGAATAAAAACAAATTTTTACATATTTATAAGAAAACCATGTTAGATGCAATGTGCCAATGTGTAAGGTTGGTTGGTTGCTTCCTTAGCATAGGTTGTTTCTCCCCTTGCCTGATTCTTGATTTCAAGACATTCATCTTCTCTGGTAATTTCTAGCACTCATGATTCTTGCTCCTCAACTTGGACACACACTAGTTGGTCTGGATCACATAAATTCTAATGATATTGGGATAATCAAATAATCAGAAACTTTCCAAATCAGGATACTATTCGAAATATGTACAGATAAATAAGGAAGTAGGGGCTTAAGGAAAGAACAAATCTGAGCATCTTTAAGTTGTTTTTTTCCATAACAAAAAATGGAAAGAAATTAAGAAAGTCATTTGCATGCATGAACTATAGGTGTGATGTATCACCTATATGCCCATATTGAACTGTGACATTTAATACCGGTTGTTATATAATGGTAGGTCTAAAGGAATATCTCGGAGCCAATCCATCACTCCTCCAACAAAATGGCACTAGTGTTCATTCTCAAATCGCCAATGCTTCAATGTCCGGTTCTGAATTTGCAGATGCAGAAGTGCAAGAAGAGTTTTATGATGCAATTGCCGCTGAGTCTTTGACGTCAGATGAAGAAAGTGATGATGAGGATGAGGATGATAAGGAACTAGATCAGGTTACCTGCAATCTTCTTATCTACTGCAAGAGAGTTTTTAATAGATTTGGATGTTGTTTTTGTGTTACAGGTTTGAAACAAAGAAGAGGCACTTTTTTCTGTTAAGTTATACAATTTTATACCTTGTCCAATTTGTCAGGAGCAAGGAGACAAACAAAATAATGTTTCATGGACCATCACAAGCTCAGCTTTGAAGAAAACTGCAGGTCAGCCTTTGTTTCTTTTTATTGGGATAAAAGGCTAAAAGGAATTATAACTTTATATCATTTTGTCTAGTTCAATTTATTTACACTATCCAATTCTCAAATACATCAACTGCTTTATTCTAATTTCAAAATTACAGTTGATTTCTATATCTAATTCCTGCAAAATTGACAGTATGAGACAATAAACTTCAGAGAATAGAAACAAACTAAGGGTCTCTTTGACTAAATTTTTCTAGAAGAACAAAATAAGAAGGATAAATAATATAAATTTCTCTATAAGCTAAAATTAGCATGTATATAAGCTATTTTGTAGGAGTTCTCTCCTATTAACTCCTACAAACTTTTATTTTTAACTCGTGTATAAGGAAGTTTTAACTTAAAGAAAAGCTTATTTTGATTTTTCTTATATTTTTCTCTTGGAAATGCTTTTGGAGAAGCTTATCCAAAAAGTTATCCTAAATAGGTGGTGAAACATACAATAATACCTGCTATTACATGCTATTGAGTTCATATACGTGATGGAATCACCTTCATTTTATCTTTTTATTTATTTCTCATTGAGTTCTTTAACCAGAATCAGATGTCTTGTTATCTTCTTCACGTCATTTTCAGCTATAACTGCTTGAAAAAGGGATCTTATTGCAATTTTTTTAGCTCTTTTATTTATGTAAACCTTAATCATCATATAATTACATGCATAGTGGCCTTTCATTTTCCCTTGAGAAAAACAAAAAATGCTAGATTAATAAAAGACCAAAATGATTAATGTCACTGCAGCTTCTTAATTTCTCAATTCTCTTTTTGTTGTTTTTACCATTCAAACTTTTAGTCTAAAATACTTTGTGATTCTGCTTGCAGCTCCAAATCTAAGCAAAGAATTAGATCCTGATGCAAGTCCTGTCACATTTGAGGTCAGCGACACGGATGGCTCTTTGCGCAAAGGTGAGAATGAGAAGGACACAAACTGTTGGATTTCTCCTGGTGGTGACGGATTTATGATTAGAGGAAAGAACTATCTGAAAGATAGTTCTAAGGTGAGTTAAACATGCAAGTTCATTAAGTATATGTTGGCATCACAGAACATGTTTAGGGTGGGGTTAGCCTTTCTGGACAAATGATAATCATAATGAAACCAACAGATTTGAAGACTTATCCCATATTCAGATCAATGAGTGTTTTTATTTGTTTGCAGTGAAATTTGTGACCAAACTAATTAGGCATAAAAGATAAAGGTGGTAAACTTTTGATCATTTTTTTTTGTCAAATTTAAGAATAGCTTTAGTAATATGTGGGCTTCAAGTTTGCCCCTTAATTTTTTTCCAGATGAATAAACATCAGGGGATTTCGGGCATATTGGTAATTCAAACTCCAATTTTTCAACAACTAAGTCTTTAGCTTTCAAGCTTTAAATCATGTTGAAAAAGAGCTTCATATACTTTATTCTTGTGTTCTGGCTGATTGTCATGGATATGACATTTCTCATTCAGGTGGTTGGAGGAGAACCTCTTCTCAAGCTCATAGCAGTTGATTGGTTAAAAGTTGACAAAGCTGTGGACAGAATTGCACTGCACCCTAGAAATCTGGTTCAGGTAAAATTGGTATTATAAGATTTTATATTTTTAATATTCGTGTAGATTGTTATGAATTAAAGTTGGAAAAAAAATATGCTCTATTCGGTTTAGATATGTTGATTTAAGAAATGATTTTCTCTAAACCATTAATCTACTCAAGCTTCAAAATTTCTCATTAGACTTTATGGAAATTAATTTCCCCGTCTCTCTGATATAATAGACCCTCATCCAATCCCTATTGAATAGGTGCTTTTATAGATGACTGTTCAGCTTGTCATTCTCATATATTTGTTCTCAATAGGTTCTCTGAGCTTAATTTTGGCATAGTTTCTTGCTTTTTCCAATTATGTATAAGGACATATGTATGGTTGTGCCCTTTCATATTATGTGCTACATTTTATCCCAATGTGGGTTGTCATATGCATCTTCCAGATTGATTGTCTTTTGTTCAGTCATACCTTTTCTACTAGTTTGAAAAAAATAATAAAAAATGATCTTGCTTGTTATCTTCTTATCCTGTTAATGCTGTAGGGTTAAAGCTTGTGGTCAAAAATCAAAATTATGCATGCATGTTACCTTAATATTTTGGAAATTTTAAACTTGAGATTTTGATATTCTTAATTGTTTTATATAAACATAATCCTTCTTGTCTGAATTGCAGACTGAAGCTGGAAAAAATCTTCCATTTGTCCTTGTATTTAATCTACAGGTAAGGATATTATTTATATTGTACACACATGTTATTTTAATGTAGAGTGAAGTTTAATAAACATGTTAGTATTACAAATTCATCCTTAGGTCTTTGATTATATGCTTGCTCTTTAAGATGGAATCAAAGCATAGTTGACCAATTGGTATATATAGTTCTCTCATTTAAGCAACAATTTTATTCAAGTGGTGAGCCAGTTAGCCTCTATTAGCAACAGCCCAATTAGGAACCAACTATGAAGTATATTTTTCAAAACAAATAAAGATAAGTCCCAATCCCAAAGAGTCAAGGACCATCCTGTTCCTTTTTTAGTTATATCTTGTTAATTAAGTTTCTTAAGAGTTAGTAAATTGGCCTTCTAACTGAAATAGCAGAGATAGGATACAAATAGAGTGAGAGAATGTAAGCAAACCCAATTGGTTTATCATCCTCTGTACTGCAAGTGTATTATTCAGTTTTTAGGAATTTTGTTATGTTTAAAATTTTTAAGATATTATTTAGATAAAGATAATGATGTTATTCTTATCATTTAAATTGAGGATATTATCACGTTAGTATTTGAATTTTGTATTATTCTATTGTTCTATATATATAGTTAATGAATAAAATTATGTCAAGCTCCTTTGGAAAAATATTCCTCTAAAAGAAAAATCACTCTGTATCTTGCTCATTCTGCTCTCTTTTGTAATTAATAAAAGAATAATTCATAAAAATAAGTTAAAATAGTACAAGAAAAAATATAAGAAACACTTCTAAAGCAAGCATGAAGCAATAAGCAATGGTCATCCTTAAGTTCTGATTATTTTTAAGACATCATCAAGTTTGTCAGATTGAATGACTGAAGAGAGTTCTGTGTACATGAATGTATGTAATTATATGTAACTATGTACATAAAGATTAATGCAATGGGAAAATTGTTATATGCTTATGGTGATGGATCCGATTATCAAGGCAGATTTTTATTTTGGTGACAACATCAGGTTCCAGCTAAACCAAACTACAGCTTGGTTCTATATTATGCATCTGACAGACCTATAAATAAAGATTCTCTATTGGCTAAGTTTTTGGATGGAGATGACGCATTTCGGGACTCAAGGTTCAAATTAATTCCAAGCATAGTTGAGGTATGTGATTCTCAATGAAGATTGATATGCCATTTTTTATGCCTGATACCATTGAGAAACTAATAGTTTCAAATGGATATAGGGATATTGGATGGTCAAGCGAGCTGTTGGAACAAAAGCTTGCCTACTTGGGAAAGCTGTAGCTTGTAAATACTTTAAACAAGATAATTTTTTTGAGGTAAAGTGCAAGTACCAAGTTAAGAAGTAAACCTAGTATATGTTGGCTCTCAAATATTATGTAGCATATTTTGAAGTTTCTGCCTTTATGTGTAGTAGTGCTTGTTCGGCGGCATTAGCTAGAGTTTCAGAGCATTGTATATTTCAATGATATTCTTTAGTTCATATTTTCCCATCAATTTCTTGTGCAGTTTTATGCTTAGAACTTATACTGCACATCTCTCCATATTTAAATAATTTTTTGCATTTCATTTGAGAATTGTGTTGTCAACATGGTCCTTATTTATTGTATTGATAAGACACATCGGTGAACATGAATAATCTTTATAACCATTAAGCTACCCACTTCACAATATCCACTCCTCCATTCCCATTTATTTGTAGATGACTAAATTATACTGCTTTAGTAACACTGCATTTCAACTCTCATGTTAGTTTACCATTTGGATTCCTTCCATGCGAACTTTCATCGAAGTTGTGATAAGCGATCCATAATTCTACTGAAAATCCTCAAAATAAATTGGTGATTAGTTCTAACCTTGCATGGAGTTGTGTCCTATTCTAATTTAAAAAATTTTGTAATAAAAAAAAAAACAAAGTTTACCTTTTGGGAATAATTATAAATATGAGAGTGTTGAAGCCGATCAACCCTCTTTAAGCAACTAAACCTGAAAATAGTGGTGTTAAGCTACACTATAATCCCTACTTAGTTCTAATGGTGGGTCAGTGTAACAAACTTTACAGGTTTGTCTTTGTAATTTCAAGCCCCACTTCGCATCAACTACAGGCTCTTGCCTTAACATTTATTTTGACATAAGTTTGATTGAATTTGTAGCTTGCCAATCGTTGAAGATTCCAATTCAGCATTGTTGAAATTGTGTGCAATAATATGCTAGTTTGTTTCAGTATAACCGTAACTTTTCTTCCATTTGTCATAATTTGTCTGGTGGATTCCACTTTGATAGCATTTTCTGTATTATGCAGATAGATGTAGATATTGGATCATCTTCTGTAGCTAGGAGTGTCATTGGCCTTGTTATGGGATATGTCACAAGCCTAGTCGTTGACCTTGCAATTTTGATAGAGGTTTGTTCCTTATGGTCATAATATTATGGAAAATGTGCAATTGTGTGATTTCTTTGGTCTATTTTCTTGGTGAGAGGTGCTCATATGTTCTTGGGTCAAGTGTGTTTATTCATACATTTGTAACGGGATAGGATTCTGTTCAGTGTGGCTTCTCTTTGTTCCCCCACTAATGGTCTTTCAAAGGGAATATGAATTACGGATATATGCAGAGATTATACAACTTTGTTCCCCCACTAACAGTTGTATGTTCACACAAGTCTTATTTATAATCACGTGTTAGGGTACAACCAAATCAGCCATTAATACATAAGAAAAAATCAAATCCCTAAATTGTATTAATTATATCCCTAATTTCTGGTAACAGCTATTTTACATATTTAACATGTGCTAAACATGCTAACACAAGCAACTATATTACAGCTGAGAATCATTAAGTAAATGTCAAATGCATGAGAATAGCCACCTAGTTAGGTGTATTTGATTCCATGCAGAAAGCATGCTGACATTTTTACTATTGTGTATACCGAGAGATTATCACATACACATATCTTTATATTGATAATATATTATTCATTTTGAGTCTAAATTTCCATAATTTTGTTTTAATCATCTTTCAAAAAGTCTTTTATCAATTGAAACATTGTATTCATAGTTGCCAATATCGAGTAACAACTCATTTTTGAACAATTTCAAGAAATCTTATCCAATCTCGAGCAATCTTATCTATTCTTGTGCAATCTCACCTCCTTTGTTGCTAAAAGTAAAAAAATTAGTTTTTTATTTAGTTTTTTATTTGTTATTTTAAGAACTTGTGTCATGTGTAAAATTTTACATGATTTATTACTAAACATTGTTACTTTAATATTATAATTTATTATTTTACTTTAATAAGGAGTTAAAATGTTAAATTATTATGTTGTTTATAAGTATTATAACATATTTTTTATATTAAGTAAATTATTACAAATTTACGATTCGAGTTTATAGGATCTAAATGAGATTACATAAATTCTCGAAATTGACAACCTTGATTGTACATATATAAATATATGTTCATCTTTTAGTTTTAATGATGTAAAACTTTGATTGTATTCTAACATTTAAAATGTGAGTAATAATGAATGAATTAACACCGCTTGGATTCATCAACCATCTCATTCTCAAATAATCAAAACGTTTACTGATATTGTATTTGCAGGCAAAAGAAGAAGCAGAGCTACCAGAGTACCTACTTGGAACTGTCCGATTAAACCGTATAAAAGTTGAATCTGCTGTACAATTGGAGGCTTGAGGTTTTCAACCAAAAGGGTTAAATAGTGTGGTTCTCCTCTATTATTTGGCTCAAATGTTTATAGTTACACTGAGTCAGAGAGTACTCGAATCAGAAATGATAAGTCTGGTGAATTTTTGTAGGAGTAATGGAGTATGCATCTCTTTTTGCTTTTCCTTTTCTCCACAGTGTCTCTTATATATCCAAGTTTGGGCCCCTTGATAATTTACTACCCTCTTGTCTCAATTGTGTTGTCTTTTTCTATTTTCTAAATTTTTGGTTCACCTCTTATGATACTTCCCACACTCTTCCAATGTGAGATTGATTCGCGCTTGAGGACTGAGGTTGCCCCACCCTACAAATATTTTTTGCAGGGTTCAATCACTTGACATTGTAATAGTCACTTAACTATATCCACATCTAACTATATTCATTACCCATCCAATGCATAGATTATTTTAGTGACCTATGATATAATATTTAACTTTTTATTTTATTTATCTATTTGTGAAGTTTTCTTTTAATTATAAGTGTTACTAATTTTTTTTATAAATTAATAAATGTTAACTAAAATAAATAAAAATGAGATATTTTTATGATGCTCATGTTATTAAATTATAGTATTAATTTCTTTTGTAATAACTAAATTAGAATTTGAATCTCCTATTTCAATTTTTGATTTTTTATTTTCTAAATTTAAAAGGTATAACTTTGATATTACAAATTTTAAAAAGTTTCATTTTCTTCTATTATATTTATTTTGTTTGATCAACTTAAGAATCAAATTAGTCTAAAGTACCGATGTACAAAGACACTTTAAGTAACACTAGGAATTCCAAAGATAAAAAAAATGGAAACTAAAGTACGTTATAACTTAAAAATAAAAAAAATATAAAAATAAAAAAATAAAAAAAAATTAAAATAAAAGGAGAGGTGGAACCTTTGTTTCTCGGATGTGATTCATGTGAATTATAAGTATAATTGTTCCACTAAAAACTGTTATTTTTCTTTTGGTTTATCGTTGTCTTTTGATTATACCAAAAATTAATTTAAAAAATAAAACGAACATAACATATAATAATTATAATTAAATAATAATTTCATTTTACATACTAAATTAATTGAAATTTTGATAAACTCAATCTAATAGATTAAAGTAGAATTAAATGATATATATATATATATATACTAATAAAATAATTATTACATTGCGGGCTAAATAAATAAGAATTTAAATAATTTTCAAATAATTAAAATATACTCTAACGTGATTCTTACAGACGTTGTATAAAAATCGGAGATTGGATAAAAAATTTATAATATTATTAATATTTTAGCTTGTACGTTGTTGGTACTTAATATTTATTATGTATAATTAAATTTTATAATAAATTATATATAAATAAATATATTTAAATA